CCACACCCACTTATTTCTATTTATATATGATTTATATATGATTGATTTTTCATGCATTCTTCTAATTAGTCTATTATTCCATTCCGATATCTATATATATATTTTTCGATGAATCCATGTATTAATTTATTTATTCATTCATTGAATCCATCCAATTTATACATTCTTCCAAGGTTTTCAATTATTATTATTATTATTATTGTGTCTAATTGACCTACTCATATCTAAAAAATATCACCAAGGAATTAGGTCACTAACTGGTATTCACCACGTAATTGATCCCGTAATAGCACTAAGACCTGAACTCATTCAAAGACCACCATATGAATTAATTAATTATTAACCTTATCAGCAGGTTAGATATACTGATTTTCATCTATTATGCCCAATTTTAATTTAACTCTATTCCTATTTTGGGTTCTATCTTTAATTATTTAATCTTTTAATGAATTATTTTTATTCATTCAATATATGTATTTTTTTATGTAGTAGCATGTTTTATTTATTATTATTTTTCCTCTTATTAGTACATTTATGTAACGGACTTTTTAGCTGCCAATTATCTGGTCGGTTAGCGATCACTATATTAAGCGAAGCAGCAGCAGTTAAACCTATCAGCCTCTGAAGAAGTGACTTTGAACTGTCACGAAACGCGTAAGGCTTTCTGGCACACAGCCGCACACCAAAGCAACCGCAGCTACCGAGCAACCGTGGAACGCAGAGCGGACGTACTAAGTGGAACGTACGCGAGGAGGATTCCATCTCTCCCAGCACAGCGAGATCATCTCACCGGCCGGAGAAAGATCTTCCACAGCCTTTTTTCCAACACCACCCGCTCTTGCAGACTCCTCAGGATTCATTTGCTGCTATCTTACACTTCATGTCCGCGAGTGTATTTTAACTTCTATGAATAAACTTGAAGATTTTAACTAAAAAGCACTGCTACTTGTATTTACAGTTCCAGCTTGAGAGGAACTATTATTACCATTGACCTGCCATAGTGGTCTGTGAGTAAATATTACTTTTCATTCCTGCTTGTATCCAATTTTTACCATCACTGGTTATATTGTTTCTACAGCCTGATACATTAATGCTGCTACCAATTCTAATGGATAATAGCACAATGTGTTGGCTGTGATATAGATATCAATTTATACCATTCTCTTTCCCTGCAGAAATCAAACTCTGCTATTTAAAACACTATTCAATGACTCTTACTAGTGTATGATTTTGGACTTATTTTACTCTACCCAATTCTGGACTACTAAGTTATTTATCCATTCAACTGATGATATTGTGCTAATTTATCTATTCACAACAGACTATTCAAGTCACAATTATATTTTTTATTTGTATTTCCATTTTGATTTCAATATTTGTCTGCTGGCAACGCAATGTTTAGTTAACATTTCCCTCTCATGTGAGAGTGTATGGTACCTGGTTGCCGCCTAGTGACCATTTGTATACCGCATTGTATTCATATATATGCTTCCTGCTGTTATATTAATTTCCCACATATCCTCATAATTCAGACTGTTATGTGATTGAAAAAAACAAACCAGCAACTGTACTCTTTCTTAAGCACACACTTAGGTGCAACCGGATCAGGGGCCAGCACCCAGCCCCTCAAAGTAATTTGTAGTTGAAGGAGAAAAGATCCAGGCACTCCAAGGTTATATAAATGCAGTTTTATTGAACCCAAGTGTCCAGCAACATTTAGACCTAAGAAGGTCTTTTTCTCATTTGACTACAAATTGCTATGTGATTGAAATCATCTCAACCTGAATTAATTAAGTGACTGAATAACTATAAAGTGTGCTCACTTTAATTCACAGTGCAATGCAATATTAAAATGATTAAAGCCACAAATTACGCATATTTTAGCAACACCATGATATGTATGACCAGTCTGCCTTTAACCGATTTCTAACTATAGGTCCATGATAAAACAGCAATATTATTACTGTAACACCCAATACACCGTTTTAATTCTATAGTTATAGAAGAGAGATGGTCACCCCAATGATGGGTTGTCAGATCACCATGTTTTCTTGTACTCACAGCACTATGAAGAATCATGTAGCATATTATTTCTACATATAGCAGGAGGCATAACTTTTCATGTATTTAACATGAACATGAATAATAATATATGCCCTTGAACAAATGGTGGGTCTGGAAACCCACCATTATCAGGTACTTTTTTAAAATGTATTTAGCATGAATGTGATTAGCATATACGAGAAAATGGCCAGCAAGCTGAAAGGATGCCTAGGAAAGTATGATAAAGAATGGGTCTGTTGGGCGGCCACTTAGTCACTGAATGACAACTAAGACAAACCGACTGCTCAAACCAAATGATTAACCCCCATAGTGGGCCAGTAAGGGAGCACACAGGCGCAAACGTTAAGGGACCAAAGGGGTCAGGGCGTTGAGGTGCTCAGGTGTACATATAGCCTCATCAATCTCACAAGTTACATAAGGAAGGTGATCTGTACTGTACTGCTGGCTGTGGTGTGAAGCTGTGACCAGGGATCTCTCCCCCCCCCCTTTTCCTTCTGTATCCCATCCCCTCCCAAGTTAAATATAAAAAATGTACCGCATGCTTTGAAGCTGTATGCATCACATCGAACATCGCCTGACACACAGATTATTTGTGTGATTATATGTATATTTAATTGGTTAATTGATCAATTGAGTGAGAAATATGGCTGGATATAGGGCGACATGTAGAATGTTATCCGCAAATGTCGCTGTGAAGGCGGACTGTAATTATTTACCATGTTATGTGTTGCAAATGTCATTCAATAAAAATGATAAATGAGAAAAAAAAAAATGTATTTAGCAATAAATAACTTTGGACTATGACATTTAATTCTTGCACTGAATTGTTCATTTTTTTTATAGGTGTCTCTGACAGCTACTACTTTTGAGAACCTGGCTAAAATCCATCGTATTAACCATTTAAAGACCAACAATGTGGCTAGGAAGACACTCCCATCTAGGATTATGAGATCTTGCATGTATTCCTTGACACCTGGCATTTCTAGATGTCGTTTGGCAGCATGTGAAGAGTGCTGCCTTGCAGTATGTAGGCTTTGTATGCTGCAAGGAGGTACTCAATTAATATACCAATTAATAAAATAGTGGAATGCTAAAGAAATTTCCCTGATTCATCAATGTTGTTCCCTTCTCTAGTATTTGGCTCTTACATTGTACAGGCCAGGCAATCAACTTCCCATCAGCTTGGAGACATGATATTAACCATACTCTATTAACTATGATCAAAAATGGAGAACCCCGCGTGCCTCGGTTGTCAAGGAAAACCAAAGAAAAAAGTTGCAATGACTATAGTACACATCAGCCCCAGTAAACATACAATAAAAAACAAAGAAAAAAGTTACTTGCGCAGTATCTCAAATCCTTATACACACTTAAATTACTGGAGGTTTTTAATATCACACCAATGGCCATTTCAAGTGTCATCTGCCACGTCAAGGTGAGTCCTACCTTCTAGCTGAAAACATCAAGGTGAATGGTTTGTGTAGGACTCGCCTAAGAGGTTTTGCTTTGATGTGGCAGGTGAGTTTACACTTAAATGGCCATTGGTGTGATACTAAAAACCTCCCGTAATTTAAATGTGCGTAGGGACTTGGGATAGTGCGCAAGTAACTTTTTTTCTTTGTTTTTTATTGTATGTTTATTGGGGCTGATGTGTACTATAGTCATTGCTGCCGCCCAGGAGTAGTGGGAGTTTGAGTGCAGGGCTTAATTTTGTATGTTTGCCAAGGACAACATGCTAAATCCTATAGGGCTGCTTTTATTCCAGTATCTATAAATAATAATACATTACAGCCTTGGAGCACACATTTGTAAAAAAAACAACAAAAAAACTAAATCCTCATAACATTTAAAACACCCCTCACTTTAAACACACCTCTACCTTGGGTAGATCCACAAGGTCACTTATTTGCTACTGGGCAACACATGAAATTTGCTACCTCCTGGTGTAAAGAATTAATGTGCTGTGATAAACAAATCAGCAGCATTTAATTTCCCTCTAGCAGTATATAAAAAGACATGTCGCAGGGTAGCACTTTTCACGCTTTGCCTTTCTGTATGAATTAGTTATATTGCGTTGAGGAAATGCAGCAGATCTAGCCCAGTGGATCCCACACCAGTCCTCACGCCCTCTCTACCAGCCCAGGATTTAGGAATTACCCAGTCGTGTCTAAGGTGTTTTTAGAAAAAGAAAAAAAAACACCTTAGACACGACTGGGTAATCCCTGGACTGGTAGAGAGGGCATGAGGACTGGTGTGGGATCCACTGATCTAACCTTAACCTACCACGACCCTATTTTGCACACATTAGTCAAAGGCAAGACTGAGTAGAACCATGTTTGGGATCTGGTGGATAAATAAATACATTCAAAAATGTGTGTTTGCATACGGCTCACTTTTTCTTAAGCAAGGACATGTTGCACATAATTGTTTTTCTCATCAAAGTGTGAATTAATAGGAATTCTGACTCAGCTTGGAATTTAAGGATAAAGTAGCTGAGATGACAAGACCACCTACTAGAGATATTCAAATAACCACTTTAGCCTTAAATTAGCTTTTCAGTTTGAATTCACTTGGAAATAACAGCAATTCACATTTGCATGTATTCCATTCACCTTTTTTTTTCTCAAGCAGACAGTCAGCACACACTGTGTATGTAGAATTCAAATGCTATAGGTTGGACATTACTTCGTACCTAGTGATTAATTTATTTAGCAACATATTAATTCCAAATATATAGTAACCTTCATTTATTGCAAATGCTGAAAACAAAATTGATGTTAGCATAGTTAATAAATCAGACACAATTTTAATGAATAGCCTTTATTAAGTAAACTACAAAAAACTAGAAATATAATAACAGCTCAACATGTATTTACTATCAACATCATTTTAAGACAAACACTTTTAATAAATAACTTATAACATATTTAAAATAGCAGAGATTTAACATGTATGATTTTAAAATATTGGGTCATATTCTCTAAACAGTGAATTGTGGTGAATTTGAAGCCAAATTGCAAAATCTATGAAAAAAAAAACCAGGCAAGTTGGAAAAAACTACATTGGAATTGTATTCCAACTCCTTGTCAGGGTTTATTTACTAAACACCAACTTGCAGTCAGTTGAAATCCTAACTGAAAAAAATGAAGTATCCAGTAGTGGAGTCTTAGAATGTTAGCAAATTGGCTACTTTGCTCCGATTTTTGTAATTCAGAATTCAAATCAGTACAATTGAGTGTTCAGTAATTGAACTCCTTTGTGTAACACACATTACACTGTAATAAACGAGCACAAAATGCAATCCTTAGACAGTTTGCCATTGATATATTTAAAACTTGAAATATACATATAAAATGAAGATTATTTACATCCTTTTATATGATTTTTATTTTATTTTAAAGTAATTTTTTTTTCTTCTTGTAGAGGCAGGTTTAAGAGATTATTTATTCTAATTATATACTAGTTTAATATGCTGAAAAAACAGAATATACAATTGTAAACATTAATGTAAAAAAACCCCCAAAAAACATTATTCTAAATCTGAATATACACACCAATAATCTGTTCGTGTCTCCAGTTCCTTGTACAGAAGTTCTGGCTCAGTACTGGCAATGAAGAACTGCTCAATTGCCCCCTTTTCCCATGCCTTATGCCTCTTCAGATCAAATTCTCAAAGAAGTATATGCATAGGAAAAGTGAACAATGAATCTTACGTGCTGTGCCTCTCCAGAAAATCTAAAGGAAAAATAAATAAATAAATAAATCATTAAATAAAAGTTATGCAGATGTTAAAAGTAATTTGAAAAAATAAAATAAAAAAAACAAAAAAAATTCTGCATCTAAAACCTTTATAAAACAACAATAATAAATAATTTTTCATAAGTGCTGAAGAGGGCACGTTGTATACAACATGACATTATTTGGTTATTTATGCTGATGTTTGTAGCATTGCTACACAATTTGCTAAGAGTAACACAAACAATTGTATACTAAACAGCATAAATAGCAAAACCAAATAATGAACTCAGAACTAGATATTTATCATTAAAAGTAGCATTAACATTATTTATAAAACCACTATAGTTTAAATGCATTCGAAATATAAAAAATGTGCTTAATGTATCGTGATAAAATTGTTTCATTTCATCAAATATAAATATAACATATTTGATATTAAATAGAACAAATAATAATTCTAGCTCTTTTTTTCCAAGCACATTTAAAAGATAATATTAAAGGATTAAATGATCATGCAGCCCTGGTGGAAGTAGGTAAGCTCTTGTTGGACTTACCTGATATGTAGAGTTCTCGAAAGCTGTCTACAGATATCTGATGATTCCATGACAATTTATGGCCTACTTAGGACCTTGAAGGAATATTAACAATACAGTGTAACTGTTTTTCTCAAGTCTTAATCAACGTTCTCCCACCCAAGGTCCTTCCTGCACCTGCAATGCTGTCTACAATGGTGCTTTCAAAAAGTGTCCAATATTTTAGACCCATCTGCAACATAGTTCAGAAGATACAAGATGTGGCAATTAGAAGAATGGGTCATTTTCATCTCTGGTGGAAACGTGTGGGCAAAAACAGCATTATCTTTTGTTTTTTGTTCTAATACGTCAATGTGCCAGGACACTGAGGGAGGATTTTAACAAAGTTACTTATCTCTCTCAATGTCCTTCGTATACAAACATGGTTTTTCACCGAGACCTCAAGGTCTTCCTGCAAGGCTTTCAACTTATCAGGACACCAGGCAGGACTTAATCACTACTGGATGCCAAGGCTGACAACGAGCTTCATCTACAGTAAAGCAAGAGAATCATAAAATTCAGACTAGTCACTGAGGGCTCCATAAAAATACCCTATAACCTGGTAGAATAAATAAAAAGAAAATTCGATATTGTTAATTTATTTCTTAGCTTTATTCAACTCTGCTTGATGTGGTTAGAGTATGATGACTACTGAATGAATCAACATTTTATAGCAGATATTCACTAGTAGGGTAAATCTCTAAAGTAAGAAGTCCATTTCAAATTTAAATCCAAAATAGCTGAATTGGGAGACTTTCAGTTACTTTGACCTCAGATTTGCAGTTCACCTTGAACTCTCTCTTTAATGAATAACCCAATAAATCTTGAAGTTTGGGATATTGACAATTGCAAATTGCAAACATTTTGCAAATTTTAGGTCAAAATTGTTGAGATTGAAAACAGTTGACTGGGAAATATGTGCAAATCGCTTCAAAATTCTCAGTTTAGTGAATAATACCATATATCTGCAAATGTTAAAATGATTAACAATCACGTGCAATCTTCATGCAATAGACATCAAATCCCATCATGCACAGATGGCTTGCTACACGTTGCCTATTGCCAATAAACTAATTAACACAATCATTTCACATTATCAGATACATTGCAATATTTGTTTGATAGTAGTCAGTTCATTTGATAGAAAAAGCAAATCACAGGGTAAACAACGTTCACTTAAATCTCTTATGTCAAATGTATCCATTATTTATTTATATTTTTACTTAAAGGGTCACAACTTTGTATTATTAGGAAGCTGATGGTGCAGATAGAAATCTGCACTCAGCCTAAGCTTATGGGCTAGAAAGAGACCTCATAGACTCCCCTGGCTATAGGCAACTGTGCCTTGAGTTGGAGGTAGGCCCACTAAAGTGTACATCTGTAAGAACTATGAAACTAACTTTGTAATTTTTTTAGCCTCACACATGTAACATATACCTAACTAACCACTTGCACACGTACATAAATTACGACATACTCCAATCTAATTAGTAACATGCTAACAGCAAACAAGACACAAAGTAACATGCATGTATAGATGTACGCTACTAAGCATAGCAAACTATTTTGTGCAGACCAATAATAGACGCATTAAAACATATGCAGAGAGACATTGACAAGCGCGCACAGATACACTGACTTCCAGACTCACAATGACACTCATAGACATTGACAGTCCTAAACAGACTCAGTGACAATCATACACAGGTTCACACTGATAGGTGTACTCTCACTAATCAGGGCCGCAATCAGGGGATGACATTGGCACATGCCTGGTGGTCCTGTGGGGCCCGGACTGCTCTGAAAAAACCGGGCCCCATAGTCTCAATGTGCACATGTATATAGTGATTATATATGGAGGACCAGCACACTCTGTCTTAACTTTACAGTTCCTTTGTCTCTAACTCATGCATGACCAGCAGCTGTCATAGTGTTGCCATGGGTTACCATGGCAAAGTTCCGTGCGTCACACACGCAGACCTAGCAACAGTTGGGGTGAGACACAGCAAAGTGAAGACAGTGTGTGCTGGCCCCTTCTGCAGTATACAGGAATGCCAGGGCCCAGCACAATGCCATCGGATCACCAGGGAAGCAGGTACAAGGAAATAAAACCATATTTATTGAAATAAATTAAAAATAAATAAAAATAAAATGCTTTTTGGTCCCACAAAATGCAGCCCCTATTTTACACAACATTTACACACACTACATATACTACACAAACACACACTGCAATCAGTATAAACACTCTGCATCGACTACACACACAGCATCCACTACAGAAACACACACTCTACATTCACTACACACACAGCATCCACTCCAGAAACACACACTCTACATTCACTACACACACAGCATCCACTACACAAACACACACTCTGCATTCACTACACACACAGCATCCACTACACAAACACACACTCTACATTCACTACACACACAGCATCCACTACACAAACACACACTCTGCATTCACTACACACACAGCATCCACTACACAAACACATACTCTGCATCGACTACACACAGCATCCACTACAGAAACACACACTCTACATTCACTACACACACAGCATCCACTCCAGAAACACACACTCTACATTCACTACACACACAGCATCCACTACACAAACACACACTCTGCATTCACTACACACACAGCATCCACTACACAAACACACACTCTGTATTCACTACACACACAGCATCCACTACACAAACACACACTCTGCATTCACTACACACACAGCATCCACTACACAAACACACACTCTGCATTCACTACACACACAGCATCCACTACACAAACACACACTCTGTATTCACTACACACACAGCATCCACTACAGAAACACACACTCTGCATTCACTACACACACAGCATCCACTACAGAAACACACACTCTGCATTCACTACACACACAGCATCCACTACAGAAACACACACTCTGCATTCACTACACACACAGCATCCACTACAGAAACACACACTCTGCATTCACTACACACACAGCATCCACTACCAGGGCCGGACTGGCCCACCGGGATACCGGGAAATTTCCCGGTGGGCCGTCGGCACCTGGGGCCGGCCCTTTAAATACTGCAGCCGCCTGAGCGCTCTGTGAAGAGCGGTCAGGCAGCTGCAGCTTCTCCCCTCCCCTCCCCTGTAGCGTGGCCGAGCTGCACTCTGGTCCGCGGTGCCCGGCTGGACGGATAGGAAGGTGCACGCTCAGTGTGCACTTCCTGTCAGTCCGGCCGGTGACAGGAAACAGAAACTCCTGTTCCGCGCGGAGTTTCTGTTTCCTGTAACCGGCCGGACTGACAGGAAGTGCACACTCAGTGTGCACCTTCCTATCA